GCAGTTCTGCCTTCGCATAGGTCCTTGGCATTTGCATCCTGTAGCATCGCATGTCTGCGCGGAGCTGCCAGAGAAGCTGCCGCCGTGTTGAGGACATCTGCCAGCTCTGCCTGGCTCCAGCTCCTCGACTGCCTGGACGACTCCTCGGCCTGCTGCAAGCGCTCTAGCTTCTGAGAGGTGCTCAGAAAGCTCCACTCGTTCATCTTGCGAAACAACATGAGGTGCTGATCAGGCTGGAGAGATATACAAGGAGAGCCGGAATCGTCCGCTTCACGGACTTGCAGGGATAGATCCTGCTTTGCTCTCAGCTCAGCATCGATATGGTTATCCGTAGCGACAACCATGTCCATTTCGGATTCCCTGCAGCGGCGGTGCAGCTTCCGACAGCTTTTTAGCAGGCGCTTCTGTGCCCTAGTCCAAGCCTCATCCCCCGGTCTGGGAAACGACTGGAGCTTTGTGTGCATCTCAGAAAGGACAGCGCGCAATCGAGATGGCAACAGCCCACCATCCATCTTGTCCAGGAACTTCGTCAAGAGCTGGAACTCTTCAACTCTTGGAATTCGACCCTGCGGGCCGTAGGCGATCCAGGATGCCACCGGGGCTGCAAGCCTTCGGAGGCATGACTGGTCGCAGTAGTCCGCTTTCTCCCAGTATGTGCTGATCGCCGCCGGCTTGTCCGTCTTGCGACGGTGATAGAGGCGCGCATGGATGCGCAAGCGGCAGCTGTCTGTCGAAGCCATGGGGGGGCCTCTCGATATGTCCTATGTCTTGTTTCCCATGAAGATTCTGAAGATACATCTCCTGGCCTTCGGGCGTACAGCAAGCAACCGAACTGAATCTTATTAAGTTCCGTGAGCCATCCATGCTACTTGCGCCATATTACTTGGTTGTCGGGTTTAGGCTGGGCTGGCGATGGTTTCGGATTTGAGGTTCTGAGGGTTTTCTGGCTTCCTCAAACCTCGGAAGCAGGTCAAAAGTAAGCCACAGAAAGTTTATTGGGTCCAGTTGGCAAGGAACATGATCATGGGAATAAGGGTTGATTGACGAAGCTTGACTCGTCTTTTGGGGCACGGGGGCGCCAGCGGCATAGCGTGGGGAATGAGAGGCTGCACCTTACATGGCAGTAGTTGGAAGTAAGGGGGTAGTTATAGTGCCGTGAAATTCTCGGCTCTGCTAACCAGTCTTCGCAAGACTTGTGCATGATGTTACATGCTAAGGGGGGGGGGGGCAGAGGCGGTGTCAGTAGACTGTGACTGCTTCCGGCAAGAACAGGTCCTAGGAGTCCGAAGTGCTTATGCCGCAACGCGCAGGGACACGACACCCCAAAGCCCAAACTGTCTGTGGGACAAGGTCCCCTTGGGCACCTTGATCCTTGCCACAGGCGATGGCGACAATGACCTCACATGAGTCGCAGCCACCCCCCGGCAAAGCTTGAGAGGTCGTTTAGGGTTTACATCGGCTAAGCATTCATCCTGCGGACATTCTCTTTCAGGTCTGCTTTCATCCATTCCTCCAAGCTTTTACACGCAGTGGATCCCAAAGACTCAACACTCAAACCCTGAAAGGGGTTGGCAGCTCTAAGGCGTCTGGTCTCACCACTTTCGATACACCAAGAGCCATAAAGGCCCTAAACCCGGGAACCCTGAAGCTGGAAACCCTTAAGCCTATCTCACCCTGGCAACATGAAAAAGGCGAGGCTCGAGGTGTCTAGCATACCTTAGCATGCTATAGTCTGCTATAGTAAGTTATGCTCATATTTGGGTATATTCTAGCAAAATACCTCTTCCCTGATGGCTTCGGACTCGGATTCGATTGCGGCTCAGATTTTTAGGCTGGAAAATCCTCCTCCAATGTGCTGCTTGGGGGCGAGGAAGAGCCGCCAGAGTTTCCCCTGGAGTGGCCTTCCAGACTGACGAGGTTATGCTCACGCACTCGGATTCGCCAAGGAGTTCAGGACATAAACTTCGATGGGATGTTTTTGCAGAAATTCTATGTACTGCAAGAACCAGGCCCACAGTGAGGAAGAGCCTCTCTTGGCACGTGCATCGTCCGGGGGCTTGGTGAAGAGATGAGGACCAGGGTGTCTTCACAACATAGCGCAGAAGCTGGTACCCAACTTCCCTACGCCCTATACAATTCAGGTCCGGCAGCGCATCCTTCCTGGCAGCTACGCGTCGTACGCAGAATTGTCCTCCGCCAGAGACCCCTGTATTGAAACCGAAAGCACGTAGGCCGCTACAAACCGAAATCGGAATCTGGGGCCTGGCTCTGCACCGCTCCCCACAATCGAGGTGGAGCCTTGGTTTGGCATTGGCTAGACTCACTGCATGCAGGGATATTGTATATAAATACAAGTGTCCATACGTATACATATATATATATTTTATATGTAGACTTTGATAATAGGGAATAACATAGTGAAGTATAACATAATGTATCAGCATAAATATAGTATTATAATGAGAACAGTATGAAACAACATAATATAACATAACAGAATATATAAGAACATGGTATAAGATAGCAGAATAAACACAGTTTCACATAATATGGCATAGCACAAATGCAACCTAATGTGGTATGAAAGAACATAAAACACTATACTATCCTACACTATGCTAAGACCAAAATACAAACTAATATATCATAATATAACATAACATATTCTAGTAAAACCTGCTTAATCTAAACAATTATTCTGTAATACAGCATCATATAATATAATGTATTATATACTGTAATACTACAACATATAAAATAAGAAATAATGTATCATAATATGATATAAACACAACATCATATAAGCTAGAAAGGAAACTGGTATTATAGAAGTCAATGAAACACAATGATATGCACCATAAACATACATAAACCGTAGAATGAAATACAATGCAGTTTAATACAATATGATGTAACATGATAAAACATATGGTGCATATATATATACATATATATATATGATATTTTCAACATATGCATCTATATATATATATATAGAGAGAGAGAGAGAGCAAGAGAGAGAGAGAGAGAGAGAGAGAGTGTGTGTGTGTGTGTGTGTGCACAATACAGTACATAATAATCATTATAAAATATGTAATGAGGTTGCCGGGGAGTTCCGGACCAGGGGGCCAATGGATTGATGACAGGACGGTGGCAGATTGTCAACTTAGGAGCTGTCACTTGCGCACCTTAGGTATAACTGGCATCACTGGCAGTTAACGGGTAGGCATATACTACAACAATCTACGACTATATTCTACAGTATACTAGCGAGGGCTCTGGCTCGCTTGCGCAGCTCCACAGAGAGGCCCTGAAATTCTCCAAACCCGATGCTCAAATCATCCAAGATTGGCCTCGGAAGAACCGTGAATCTGTTGCTTTTGCAACGCTAACTGTCCGACAAAACCGAAGCCTTTGAGCACGTCCATGTCTTGAACCTTTTGTCGCTCGAGATCCTGCTGGTGTCGCCGCCTGCAGCATCAGTTTCACCAACGTCCCGCGGTCCAAACTTCTGCAATGCAGTCTATCGAGCAAGATGGCAGAGCCTGCAGAGTCTGCATACCGACTTCACCGAGCCACATGCACTTCGTGCACTTGGCAGCCTACAGTAGCTGATGGAAGTCCCAGCAGTCCCCGACGATGCAAGCTGAGGACTAAGCCCCAAACTTCCTGTCTTTACGACTGGGATTCCAGCAGGCATTAGCAGATTGTTAAGAATTGAGTCCTCCGTGTCGTCGCGGTGTTTGTCAAACAATCCAGTATAAAGCGGACTTGGTTTGTCCATGTCGACATGGCTTGACATTCAGAGGACTTGGAAAAAAAACACGTCGCTCGCAGGTTCCCTCTTCGCTCCGATGCACGGCACCGAAGTTATGAAGATTCCAAACCGTCTGAGCTTTAAGTTTCTTGACCAGAGGCTCAAGATTCGGTAGTCGGGACAGCTTGGCTTTGCGGACTCACGTTCATGACATTAATCTCGTGGGCTGGGGACCCACAACTCTATGAACATCGCTCCTACATGGTCTCCATCTGGACCACCCACGCTACATAGCCTGACAACCCTACCAAGGTCAAGACTACTATGTATGTTTCTGAGTGCTGTCGCTGTCAAGACCATTCTTGGGACTAATCCTCGATTGGTACTGTAATTTACTGATTTGACTACAGCACAAGCTGTCGCACTTCCATACCTGTAATGGCATGGCCACTAAGTATGACTTTTTTTGCTGGCGATGCAACTGCCACTGATCTGAGGGTTTCCTTACTGTAAGAATACCACAATACAACCCAAACCTATCCTACTTGACTGATATTGACCATGGTGTGGTAGCAATAGTATTGACAGTTATTCTACCAACTTCTTACAGTAATCAGTAGTCTTTTTCTGAAGAGAAAACCTGCCTGCCACAATGGGTTTTCCCTCGCAGCGTTTCTGCGAAGAGAAACCACCAGTGAGACCAAACTAAGCACAAAAAACTACGACTTCAAAAAAGGGTGCAGAGCTCTCTCTAGTCTAAGCTGAATCACGGATTTTCCTCTACACAGCTGCATCGGCTTTCGGGTGTTTGGAGGTTCCCGTGTCTTGCTACGGAACAACCAGAGCTCCGCGTGACAAACGCCCGGACTGGACACGTGCTGGGACATCTCTCGCATGACTGTCGGTGGGATACTTGTACGACATGGGAACGACCTCCTCGGCTGACTGGGTCGAGAATCATGCTGGCTGGCAGCAACAACAAGTATCAGAAAGACTAGTTACTCCTTACACTATTACGCAAGGAGCATCCTAATATCAAAGTCAGACATATCGCAGAGGCACCAGTGTAGAAATAGCAAGACTGGTGCCCACAAGATTCGGACACAGCATGGACAATGGAGAATCGTGCTGATAGTACTTAAACTAAACCACACACCCGCACACAAAACAACAAAAACCAACGATATTGTACTGACTCTTCTGCATCTTTTCCATGGACACTGCGCCGGGCGGCCCAATGAAGCTACAGCGACGCCTTGCACTTTTCTGCGCCGTCGTGGGCACCTGCAGACAGGGGGCGGTTTCAGCACTCTCGGACTTGCCTAGGCGAGGTTGCAGGGGGCCGGTTTAGGAAAGCTCACGCTCTCGCAACTCGGACAAGACGGGCGAAGTTCCATAGGTAAGGGTCGGCGTGGAATAAACATCAGAAGTTTGCCCAGTACTACGCAACAAGGAAGTAGCAACAACCTAACAGGTCTTCAGCTAGCTACAAAGTCTCCCATCGTGAGATACACCGCTCAGACACAGTGGTTGAAAGTATTAGCTTGATAATCACCAGCTCTCAGGGTTCACAAACCACATCGCTCGCAGTCAAGTCAGCGGCATGGGGCTCTAACAAAGAAAATCCGGACACGTTCCGATGTTCTGCGGCAAGTCACATGGGTCATCTCTAAGAAGTCGTCCTTACTCCCATACAGAGGTCGGTTTCTATTCCAGAGCCAGAGCAGCCTAGTATTGTGGTCATCTTCGTGATACTTGCTGCGGAGACTCGGCCACAGACTGTAGAGAGAAGCATCCCGCATCCCCTAATCATCGAACAAAGCCGTCTTCTCTCACTACTGGTATCCTGTGGCTTCATCCATCTTATCCAAGGTGTCCGACGGCGATGCTATCAGGCGTGCACAGGCTAGTCTGCATATAGGTAAGCATTTTTGCGATCTGTAGTTAAGCTCCCGTGTTCCTGCATGCAACCTGTAGTTAACTTCCTCATGTTCCTGTGCATACATCGTTACACATACACATCTAGCAGTTACTAGTTGGTGTATACTCAGGTTTGGCATATACCGTTCGTACATGCAGAACATGAGAAACTACAAGCGACCGACTGAAGCACCGCAAGTAAACATCACGGCTGACGATGCAACACTGACATATACCGGCATGGCACCAGCAATCGCAGGCGATTCTTCCTTTTGCACTCTTCCTCATTCGACTGCCAGCCCGATCTGCAATAGAAACATGAATTCTGAAAGGCTCTTCCCTCTACATACTTCAATGTCAGCAACCCGGGCCATGCAACATCTTAGGCTCTGAGATACCCTTGTTCTTGACATTCGCCCTTTTTTTGCTTGATGTGCCCCAACCCCAAGCCCGACCATAAACCCTCACCCCACTATGTGTTCACCGGTGTCCTTATCCGTAGCATTTGGACGGTTTAGGGTTTTCTAAAGGTTACAATAAGGGCTCCATAGGGCCACTTGAAAGTTTAACGGTTGCCTCGCAGTTGTTGCCAGACCCTCTCCTGGAGCTCATTACCATCCTCGGATCCGGGGCACAGCCGAACGGTGCATCCATGCCTATGACTGCTTTGGTATTGGATCTTTCGGTTCAGGCTTGGGGCAGCTATACTTTGGGATTTCTTTCTCAGGGTTTGAGGCTTCGGGCTTCTCTCTTGGAAAATCACGAACTAAAGCTGCGAGGAAGAAGTTGGCCGCGTGTGCTGGACACGGCTTGATTTTCGACACGGTCTGAAACATTCATATGCAGGGTCCTGTGTCAGCTCCAAACGATTATGCCAGTGGTCTACCATGGCGAAAAGTGAGCTATAAATGCTTCAGGAGGGAAGCACTCGCTCTACCGGGCCCTCGTCGTGAGAGGAGTCCAAAACCCACTGCTGCGCCGCGACCTCCTCCAACACTTAAAGCAGAGCTCAGGACGGAAGACCGTAATCCTTGCATTCCGCATGCAGAGCTTGCACCTCGAAAGCGGGATGTCGTAAACACCATGTGGTAGAGCAGGAAGCCCTCATGGAACCCATTCAACACGGTGATGATCACCAGCGAAAGCATATAGGGTCTGGCGAACCCCGGCTACCTGAAGCCGCAAGACCCTATCATAGATGCTTGAGGAAGTCCTGTTCCCTCAAGCTTCAAACCGTTGTAAGACCCTCGACCCTCGCCTAAAGGTTAAAGGTACCTTCTTGGGAATCCCCTGTAGAGCCAAAGCGTACACGAGCGCATGGACCCTTATGCTAGAAGGGTCATGGACCAGCAGGGTCAAACGATTTTTCCATATGGGTACATGGACCCTTCAGGGTAGCAAAACTGCATACTAAATCATGGGTACATGGACCCTTGAAGAGAATCTTAAAGGGGACGATCTTATAGAACCCTCTAGTACCCTTAAAGCGGGACCTTTCGGGTAAGCCTTGGATCTTTGTGTCCCAGCGGCCGAGAGGGACGCCGAGTCCGAGACACTCTGGTCCGCAGAATTTTCCGACTTCACGCTCGGCCGCTTCTGAGCGAGGAGGGTTTAGGGTTTAGGGTTTCTTCCGGGCTGGAGTCATGTAAGGACCTTCACATGATTAGACTTGGGTTGGGGGCGGGGGAAAGTGTACTATAAGTATAAGAAGCCTAAGAAGGAATGGCATTACTAACTTTTTCCCGACTCCTTTTTTGAAGCCTTCGACTTCTGAACTGCTGGCAGCAATGATCTGAAATTTTCTCAGGGGGGAAGCCCTGCTGGGCTCGGTGGAGTGCGACTGTTGCAGCACCATGCATACACAAATCCTCGTCCTACGCAGTCGAAACTTTCTGCAAGCACATGCCCAGCTTGCTATCAGAAGCCTGCAACTGAGTCGCGGTGAACTTCAACTACCTCCATAAAGGGCCAAAAAAACCGAAACCCTGAACCCTATCTAAACCTTATAACCTTTCTGCATGGGAAGGCAGGTCCCAAAGGCCAGCTGAGTCAGCAGCCCTAAAGCCTCAAAAACCCCAAAGCAAAACACAAAAAAAAACCGCCCACCAACGAGACCGGAGGCCTGCGAGGTCTTCTCCGAGACCGAGCCTCGGCTTCAAACTGAGGCTCTGGAGTGCTGACATGGATGAAAAAAGGGTATATATATTTTTTTTGATTTATTTTTTTTAATTAATAGACCGTATGCTTCTGCGGAGACATAGTGGGAGTCATGACATGTACTATGTACTGTATGTAGTATATGAAATGTGCGTACTGATATATGAGATACATACATGATACATATATATATATTCATACATATATCTGTGTGTGTGGGTATACTTAGATGCTTGTAGTTCAGCCTCGTGGAGTTGCATTTCCTGTAGATCGCAAACTCAGCAACACCAAACGGACTGTCACACGCATCGCTGCCACTGAGGCTGAGGTTACAAGTGCACGGCATGCTTCACATAAACAAGCACGGGCAGCGTGCGTGTGCCAAGAAAGTTACAATAGCCCCTCAACCTGAAACAGTCTGAAACCGGGATATGGACAGTCACGCTCCTTCTTCGCACGACACCTCAATTGCAACCTAAACACCTAATAAAACTCCTACTCGCTCCTGAATGCCAGGCTGCAGCAGGCCATGCAAAGGTCAAACCAAGCAAGGCGGACCTAGCAAGAGGCTCCAACAACATACGTTTGAGGTTTTAGGACTGTACCAGTAGGGTAATTTGCTGGAACAGATTGCTTTGGTATTTCCGCAGTATTGTTTGCAGGGGGTCTTCGCCATCTTTGTCCAAACGAGCCGAAAACAGAGACACCGAAGATCCAAAACTGACATGACCGCAAAATGCCCGAACTCTCGAAATCTCTTCACTAAGGGAACATGAAAGCCGGCAGAAAAAGGAAGTCTGGGTTTCATCGGAATTTCCTTTTTCAACCGATCCTATCATCTTAGACTCTCTTCGCTCGGGGCACCAGCTGAGCATAACCACCTCCACGCCGCATCTCGGCATCCTTGGTAGCGGCAGCTTTGCGTGCTTGCCAACTCCGAGTACCGCCTTATGCACCAACACCGATGATCGTCAAACCGTTGCTTCTTCTTGTTTCTGCGATCATGGTCGTGATCTATGCCTCTGGAGGTCGTATGTTGCTACAAGGGCGAGTCCCCCGTAGGCCTTCATTTCGCAAGAACACTTCTTTGACACTCTGCTGTTATTACAGTTCCGTGAAGCTGTATCACTACTTGTGTTCGGTCAACATCAAGTTTGGTCATCAGTTTCCTCCTCTCTTCGAGGAACGGTATAGAATTTGAGCGGCTACCTGGACCTAGCCAAGCTCTCCTGCCACTTGGTTACGACTTCCCAGGGCATTCGGTCGGACCGTCTTCTCTTTTTTTAATACAGAAACCGTTCTTGACATGCAAGCATGGTTTCACTGATACACGGAGACAAACCTCGCGAAAGCCATTTCGATACCCGCTTGGCATGGGGGCAGAAAATGTCGATCAAGGCTCAGAAAGGAAGGTCAATATCCTCGCAGACAATCTGTCCAGGTCAGGGCCCGCGCAGAACCTCGGCCGATGTTTGCAAGATTCAAGGAGTGCTGTGCTGCTGTGGGCGTAGATGCGACCTGTCCTACTAAACGGACCAAGAATTGAGGTGCTGAGAGACTGCAGAGAAAGCACAATGTCGTCAAGATCAGGTGTACACACAAACACACCGGTGTTGGAAACCTTCTGTGAGCAAGACACAGGCGGCAAAACAACATTCTTGAGTCCTAAACCCTAAACCCCTGAACCCTAAGTTCAGTGTGTCCCCCAGGCTGTCTCGAGAAGCTCCGCGATGAAACAGGCAGTTGAAGGGACGGCCAACATCTAGAAAACTTAGCTTGCAGGATCTTCATCCTCCTCCAGGAATACCACCCTTATGCATTACATATATCTATACTCCAAAAGCGATTTGATCAACATCTAATGACATGTATGTATAATCGCTTCCCCTTTTTATTAAACACCCCCTAATAATAAACCACATTGGACCAACCCTCCCGAAGTCACCCCTGCCTTTCAAATCAAAACCCATTCTAAATTAGGGGGAGTTTAGGGTAATGTAAAGGTTGGGGTTTAGGGTGAGCCTCCCTGGTTGACAGCTGTCGGTCTTTTCCTCACCTGCGACGGCCTGTCTGCAGTGAGCGCTTTCATGAATCTGCAGGCCTGACTGCCTTAGCACGCAGGCCCTCTCTGACCCTGCCTGTGCGGAGCGGCCGCAATTGTACCTAAATCTGACAGTAGAGATAAAATACCCCCTTAAAAAAAAGAGTATCTTTTGGGAGCGGGCCCCCCGTTTAATGTTGGGGGCAAAGGATTATACATATATATATATATGTATTTTGGCTCCGACTTGGCAACGTCCGCTATATCTATGTATGTATGTATGTATGTATGTATGTACATATACATATACATATATATGTCACATATATATATATATATTATTTATATAATGAATGTATCTGGTTGGAGCCGAGCTCTCCGACCGATGCACCGAGGGGCTGTGTGGCCCACAGGCAGTCGAGCCAAGCCTGGCGACGGGGCTACGCCCTGCACGTCGCAAGTAAAAAGACGAACCATCTGAAAAGGATGAAACTTGAATACGGGTGATAAAATGAAAATAAGAAAAATAACAGACATGGTTAGAAGAGTAATGACCAGAATCATTATGATTAGAAGAACAATGGCAACAATTATTAAAATCATTATGATGATGATGGTGCGCATGATGGTCATGGTAGTGATGGCGATACTGATGATGAGAAGTGGGACGACGATGGGCATCATCACCAGCAGGCGTCAGCCTGCTCGTCATCACCGTCATCACCACCACCATTAGTATCACAATCACAATCTGTTTCTTTCTCGCATGAGCTGCTGGTGCTGCCGATTGTAGCTGCAGCAACCATTGTAGCGATTTCCTTTTGAGTTGTTCACAATAAAAACTGTTGTAGGTGGCGACGTGCCGAGTACGATAGAACCCTTGCGATGCTGTGTTACTGCGTTGAAGGCTACCACGGTGCACCGAGATGCAAGAAGACGAACCCCAAATATTGTGAATAGCACATCACTCAGCTATCACAGGCACACCTCTGCTCTCGTTTCCCCTCATCGCAGGTCTCCAAAACCTGACCAGCCCTTAAAACCAAATGCCGAACCCTACTATCTTCGGTCTGTCCTGCTGTGTCTCCGGCGCGATACCAAGGCTTTCGCCATGCATCTTCATCAGGTCTTCGAAGGCGTACTTGGCCTAATAGCAGGCAAGCAAGCAAAGAATCAACATCAGTCCTGTTGGGGGGCCTGTCATCATTGTAAGCACACTAGGATGATATAGGTCATTCCGGCACTAACCGGGACCAGTGCAGGCGGGCCACCGAGATTAGCTGCTCGCGCTGCCGCGGTCTCAAGGGCAGTCGGTGCAGCTTCGCTGCCGCAGCGACCACCCTGACCAGCATCAATCTTGTTGGGGAAGCAGAAAAACAAAACATTGGATATGCGACTCGGTGAGCTGCGCATTGGCAAACCATGTCGAAAACATGTGGCTGAGTCGCCCAGCGCCCCTCGTTCCAAAAGCATGGGTGGCTTTTGGTGCTCCGGGACTCCCTGGCACTAACACAATCGCTGCCAAGCTGACCATTGCCAAGATCAACTTCATGGGTGATTCCTATGAGCCCAAGTTAGCAACAAGTGATATGGAGCTGTACTAGACTGTGGTGGTTGCAATATGTCGTAACAACCGGCAAAGAAGATGGAAAGAAGTACACCGGTGCGACCATGGCCATAGCTGCTTGGCAAAAGTCTCAATGTAGCTATCTCACATCTTTCATTCAGGGCCCTTGCTTGGGGCTAATATGAACCAACGTTTCAGTTGAACCAAAAGTCGCCAAGAGACTTGATGGGTTTCCTGCAGAGTTCGTTCATGTTCTTCTGGATCAACGTTTTGGCTCCGAAGACGAACATCTCCGAACCAAGGCTTAAAACACGGTGTTGCTCTACGAAGCCTGACTATCTTGAGCCCAGCATCTGCTCGCCGCCCCTGGGAGCACGGCTGCCGCTTGTTCGGACCACTCTCCTGGTCTTGCGGGTTTCGGATTTCCTGGACATTTATCTGGTCTTCCAAACCAGAAGAAGAACTTATCGGCTTCTCAGTGACACAATCCAGCCAAATCATTTCAAGCACTCGGCTCCTGAAGTACACTCTGAAGTGTGAAGGATACCCGCATCGCCGCAGCCGTGCGGAGTGCGACCGTGTAGCATGTTTAGGACTAGGAAAGCCATGACCTGTATTGGAGTGCAGGTGCCCTCGGATATCCCAGACTGCAAAGTGAATGCAGAAAGGCGTCTTGAAGGTGTCGACAACACGGTGCGACATCTTCTTCTTCAGTTTGGACGGAGACGTTGTAGGGCTCGTCTGCGCAGACTCAGCACCTCCTGCTCGTGCAGCGTTCAGATTCTTCTTGGGCAGCCGAGGATTGATGGGAGAAGCTGACAATGACTCAAATATCCAAATCTTGCCGCAAGCAGCAGCATGGCATGCTGACGACATCATGGCGAAAAAAAGTTGAGATGCTGTTGTGGGCTGTTCCTCGCACATGCGAACTCTAGCACTGTCAATCTGCAACCACAGCGACACTGCAGATTAGTTATAGGGTATCTAGAATCTAGCCGTAGCCAGCAGCCAGCACTGGGCCAGCACAATACCTCACCCAACCCAATGAAAGCCTCTGACACAAATATCGAAGCCTGGCTGAAGACCCACTATGCAGTCTATATTCCATATAGCTTCCGGATGCTCTGGGCCTCTAGAGACTGCACTGCGGGAGGCACGCTGTTACAGCTGAAACCGAAATGTGGAAGCATCGCCCAAGATCTGGTGCCTGCATCCATGCTCATCAGCCCACTTCTTCCGCGGCTCTGTTCAGCCTCCGGAGTTCGGCGCAGGGCTCGTTGGGGTTTGAGTTTTGGGGGTTGGTCATAAAACTGAGCAGGGGTGGTCAAAGGACATTGCGGCATTACCAGGGGCTTGAGTGCAGCATCCAGGTCTCTTTGCTGCACCGGCTGTGCCATGCTGTGCCATTCCCCTAGGGCTCCAAGTATGCAAATATTACCTACTTTGGGGTCTGAAGTCTGTAAATAGTACCTACTTTGGGCTATTTGGAGCCCCAGGGTTCTACTTCAAGTTTACAGGCCCTGGCCGACCTCGTCCTTCCTCTGGTGATTTCGCTCCTGCTTACAGTAATTAGAGCAGATGACAAGGACATGGTGCGAACTACAAGCATTTTGGCTGATTCGGGGCTCCAGCTTGCATTCATTCTAGTGCATTTGATTGCTTCACGGCCAAGGCTACTCAAGCATGCCCACGAAGCCCGAAATAACTGTGGAGCACCATCTGCAAGAACACTCTGCAGTGTCAGAGAAGCTCCCTTAGCAACATCATGTCCTGTCGGGACCGATGGATCCGATTTGTGGCCACCATGCGCGCGAACTCAGTGCTGAACTGCGAACCGATGATGCCTCAGCTGTTGTGTCTGTGGGGCCATTGTTCTCTTCTACCTCATGCTGCTACAACAACGAATGCCCTGTTGCTACTGTCCTAGTTCTTGTACTGGCTTCCGCTGCAATCTGTAGCTGTGCACTGCTGCTAGCTGTCAGTGCTGCCTGGACTTGCACCCTATGGAACCAACCTAGCTTCTGAGTTTACAGCATGGTATTCACAAAAAGATAAAACACAGCATTGAAACCCTTGACACTGGAATCTGGGACGTGGCACCAATGGGAAGGCCCAGCAAGATCGTGCCATAGAGGATGGCAAACGATCCAACCACCTTGCCTCCTGCAGGAATTCGCGCCAAGTGAGTCGTGAGCTGGGGCCTTGCTTTTGGTGCAAACTTCTTTTACGGCATATAGGTTGAGCTGATCCTTCTGTACAATATCAGGTACACGTTTCTTGAGGCCATTACTGTACGTGAATGTCAGAATTTTGCGCGTGGAGTTGTAAGCAGATCCCATCTTTGAGATCTTTCCAGGCTCCGAGACTTCGGAAGGTCGATGAAAGGTGATGAAAGTGGGTGGTGGTGTTAAGGGTGTAGCAAAGCTGTGCTCCAGAACCCCTTCTGGAGAGGTTGCGACAAGATGTGGCTCTCACCTGTGATGACGTGATCATGAACCGATCGAAGGTTTTAAGATCGCTTTGAGAAGAGACTCCTTCATGTGTTTAGCCGCGAGCTTCACGAGACAGCTTCGATAAGTGGGGGGCACTTTGAAGCCTGAATCTGCAAACGTTTTACGACTGCAAGTCTTCTCAGCACAAGACGAGTGACGAGATGCCCTAAGCATGCAAAATTAACATGTTAGGCAGCAGGTCGTGCCTATTGTGATGGGAGTGTTGTCACCGTAGCCGACCGTCGTGATGGTCGCCAGGGTCCTTGAATAAGGAACAATGTCTTTGGCGATACAACAGGGACGACGTCTTACGATCAAGGAAGACCACATTTCATCATCTCCCAACACAACGCAGACCGGAAACTGACACTGTGCACACAAGGCATATAGGTCGCAGGACAGGCCGATCGAGACAGAAGATGACGTCCAACGGGAAACGAATTCAGGCTGAGACCTGCGAATGCAGGCTCCAAGACGAAACGCCCTGAAGACAGGGTCTTGTCCAAGGCGCCACCAGAAGGCAGACAAAATGCTCGTGAAGGGGCTCATGTCGACGAACCTGGGCGATGACTAGGTCGCAACACCGGAGACACCGCAGAAAGAGTAAACCTAGAGATGCAATGCATTGCAGCTGAGTTTGTCGGTCGCAGCAGGAAGCTTCCCATCGAACAAATAATCCCAAACTCAGCTCCCTACAGACCCTCAACGCAATAAAGCCGAAGAAGCGGCCACGCGCGGCCCTAGCCTACAGTGTCGACAAAAAGAATTTTACCATTCACGATTTGTTTGCCTCCTGCATTGCGTGACCAGGTCTGCTGTGAAGGCTGACATCGAAACTCTCGTAAGACAGGCCGGTTCAGGATTCAGGGCTTACAGGGTTTGGCATGCCCCAAAAATCCGCAGGTTCGAAGGCTTCATTTTCCTTACAAAGCTCCGTGCTTGCATGCGCTGACGGCCTCGCAGAAATTCACAAACTTCAATCCGAAATTCTGCACCCCATACCCGGTTCGAGGATAAGCCATTTCCACCTATACAGTCTTGTGGTTCCACTTGCCCCGGAACTTGTTCAAATTGTTCTGGGCCGGATAGTGCCAGCACGAAGCCTGAACCCTCGAAGCACCGATCAGAAACTACACTCAAATGCTAATGGCATTCCTTTGCAGGCACTGCTGCAGTCAGTACTGTTGGCACCGAGCCCTTTCCCGGCACCGAGAAAGCCGAGACTTATCCAGAAGTCAAGTCGAACGGCCCGTCTCCTTGCGTCCGGATAAACACCCCACCAGACGTCCTGGAAAGGTGTGTGTGTGTGTCTGTCTGTGCACACGCATACACACATACATAAATATACGTAGGTAGGCATGTGTGTATGCATGGATGTATGTATGCAAAGGTATGTATGCATGCATACATACATACATACGTACATATATATATATATAATATATAACACATGGAGAATTGAAAGATTGGTGCGCCCAGTACTCGGTGTTGTTGACTCTTGTTCTGTGGAAGTTAACAGCTCGCCCTCTGAGTGCACCGTTGTGGGTTGTGCTATGTCTCTTCTCCTCACCATGTAGCCGCTGTGCATAAGGATTGCACCGTACACCAAGTAATGTAAGTCGTTCGGAGTGCTCATAGTTTGATCACTGTTTAAGGTGTCGCGCACGCGATCGCTGATTCGTCGCCGGAACACCGGAGCTGGCACCAGAATCTCAACTACTCGTACACGGGAGTCCTGCAATGTCCTAGATGCAATCCCTTTCTCCTAGCCCTTTCTGTATCCAAAGCAAAGGCCCAAGCCGCCCAAGCCTGTAAACTAAACCGTTAACCCTGAAAGTTAAAAAGCCTTAAAAACCTTCAGAACCCTCCCTGCAACAAATCAGGATAAGTATAGAGCCCTTAAATCACAGAAGAACCATGTATACCCTATATAGACCCAAACCAAGCAACCTTACAATAAGAACACAGCCCTTATAGTAAGTAATCCATATTGCACAGCTACCCTGAAGGTAGCCCAAAAGCCCCTAAACCCTAAAACCCTAAACCTCCTTCTGGTGCAAACCCCCGGCCCCCCCCCTTTCGTTCCTGGCTTCGTGCAGGATTGCCTCAGCAGCTCCCTGGCTGCCGGCCAAAGCCGTGAGGGTCGTCTCCATCCTGAGTCTGAGGGGCTGACTGAATATTTCGACACTCACACTCGCACACAGCAGGCAAGGCTCCACATGGTAGGGTTTAGGGTTTAAGGGTTTAGGGTTTAGGGTTTGCCCAAAAAAGGTTAACCTTTTGAACATAGCAGGATTATATAAACCACAAAAAAACCCTAAACCCACAGTTTCGGCGCGCACACTCGGACAATTCAGGGTTTAAGGGTATTTACGGTTCCTATTCAGTAGGGTTCTCGCTTGCAGTTCTTAGACTTCTTAGGTTTCTTGGGGCTTTCAGGGTTTGAGCAATGGTTATTGTCATTCATTTACAGGGAGTTTTCCTACAATAAGGACTTCATCGGATTGCGTAATGTAGCGGTCTTAAAAATTACAATAGGGTTTTGGGGGTTCCTTATTATAACTATAGTATAATCTACCCCAAACCATATTCTAATCATTAAGGCTCGTATACTAGGGCTCTATGGGCTCTTGGAGGTTGAGCTTCAGATCTTCTGGGTTACAGTGCTGTCAAGGCTTGGGGGAGTCAGCTTACAAGGGGCCTCGACATTTGGAACAGGGTTTCTTTAAGGGCTCCTTTAAAGGGGTCTATAAGGGTTACTAGGGTTAGTAGGGTTACTCTGCTCAGGGTTTCGTGCACACTTAAGTGGTTCAAACGGACGGGACCCTTCAGCGCTTCACGCAGAGCCAAAGGACATGAACCTTGATTGCCGGCTTGCGGTTGCCTATTAGGAGCAACAGGAATACTGAGCCATTGATTGCGCACGCCGGCTTGCACGGTTGGACTCTGGATGTCACCGAAGTCTGGCTGCAGTCACTCCGTGGCATTTTGGAATGGAGTCTACACCCGAAATGCCTACTTCCAGCTGCACAAACGCAGGGAGGACTTGCGAGATGCAGGTTTCCATGCCGACAAGCTCCCCGAACTCAAGTTCTGGCTTGCCCAAAGGCAGGCTTAAACGCCGATCTTCTGCAGGCAAGCGGCCGCATCACTACAGACTCAGGGTACCAGTCGCCCCGCTCCACGGTGTACATAAGCGCGCTGAAAACAATCAGTGCGAAGACCTCAGCACGGCAGGAACTCCAACTAGACTTTCCATGATCAGGAAAGTTCAAGGTCAGGACTGGGGCGAATGCAAAAGGCATAGCACAGATGAAGTTCAGAGATGCTGGAACTCACGGGCGAAGCGAGAAGGCTCACAACAACGGAATGCATACTGGTAATATTCCAAAGAACCACCGTGTTGTTGAGAGCTGCCCACAAGTGCACATGGCTGTGATGGGGACGTCGAACATTGGTTGTTTTTTGGTTTTGGGCGCAGAAATCACCAACATCACCATCAGGGTCGCCGTGGCCATCAGCGGCAGTCGTCATCTCGCAGTGTCATCGTCATCAGTATCTCTCTCTGATCTTCAGCCCCACCACCATCGACAACATCATGTGCTTCGTCAAAGGCAAAGCCACCATAAGCTGCATCAGCTTTGATTCCTGACCACCATTGGTCTAGTCACGTTTCAGAGTCATCTGCGATATCATCGATGTCCTGATCCATTTCCGTCGTTAACGTCGGGCATCGCTAACTAACATGACGCATATGAAGATCTGGTGGCCATCACGGTCCTCGCGTCTTCTCTAACGCCATGACTGCACATGTTCCACGTGGGTCGCGGCAAGTAGGTTCACAACCCGTGCTCGACTAAGCAACTACGCTTTGAATATCTCGGCACAAGGGATGATTCAGCTCCAACCCCCGCATGAACTGCTCCAAGTCCAGGAGCCAGCAAGGCCGTAGTGAGGATAAACGCCGGGAAGGCTTGAACAAAGACGTTCCTCGGTCTTGCCAGGCCCCAAACATCACCCGATGCAGCCTACGTGCCGAAGCTGTCCGAATCATAATGCAATGTAAACTGCGGTCGGGAGAATGGAAAAGTCGGACCCCCCCCCCCCCCCCCCCCCACTATGCTGGTGCTGCCGGCCACAAAGCCCAGGGTTCTGTTGAAGGAAGGAGAAGTTTGGGGCCACTGCGAGGCTGTGGCTTTCAGGCTCTCAAACCAATCGGCCTCCCGAAAATTGCGGTTGCCATCTTGGCAAAAAAATAGTCAGAAACCCATGGCACATAAAACCCCAACACATAGAGCCGTCGAGCCCTTGAGAACAGCACAGAAGACAGCAACAGACAGACGAAAGCCCAGGGGCGCCAAGAGGTGCTGTGCATCACTGNNTTGAAGATCCTCTCCACATGCGGTCAAGGCTACTGTTATTACACTTTGAGACTCTGTGACAAGGGGTGGGGGGTTATATGTCCTTTCTCCTTCTTCATCGACCGAAGCTTGCAACAACGCTGTTTCTGCACATGCCCGTGAGGCTCCACTTATCACATCGCCGCCTTCATCCCAAGTCTCAACACGCCGCAAGGCTCTTAGGGACCCCCGTTTTCTCCGGGTGGGTTGGCGGGGCTCTTAGAAGGTCAGAAGGGCTTCCTGGGTTCACGGCCCCTTTGAGGCTTTTGTGAGTTTGAAATTGACGATACGTCTGGAATGAAAACGTGTCAAACGGAGCCCCGCTACACCCCAGAACTCGGTGGCATTCTGAAACGAAGCGGGTTCAGTTAAATGATGTAGCTACGTCGGCAAATAATTACTCCACTGACACGAGATCCTGAACTTCCAAAACTGAATCTTACAGCGCAATCGGCCGCAAATGCAACCTCTCCTGCTCACTCGCAGTAGTCTGAATAGGCGCAGCCAAATGAAGTTACTGTCAGAGCTGGTGGC